CCCCAAAACCCCAAAACCCCAAAACCCCAAAACCCCTAAGTTCAATATTTATATTGAAACAAATTAATTGAATTTAAATATTATGGAAGACGAAACAACGACAATACCTTGTTACAGAATACTGTACAGGATTGTTATTTTTTCAGAAATATTGTTGATACTCCTATCCATTATCGAGATTACCCTCACAATGTTATATTACTCCAACAACATAGCTATAGTAATCATGAATTTTGGAATATTCTTCATGCTGATATGAAGAGCCATGTTGCTATGTTGGACTTACTTGAAGTCAAGATTTAGATGATTTCTGATGACCACTAAATCAGGCTTGGCTTTGGGGATAATTGTGATGAACTCATTCAAAACTTTGAGTGTGGCCAAACTAGATGAGGATGAGGGAGTAAAACTCCTTTTCACTAATATAATCATTACTAATCTTATTTGCTTGCTTTTAGAAGCAGGCGCATACGGAGTATTATCATTAAAGATAAAATATCTGATAAAATTACCCTCCAAAAAGGACTCGACTGTAAAGGCCAAGCAAGCTAGCACCAAACCATTTGATTATGAACAGCTTGTTAAACCCGAATCTCCTAAGGAGAATAAAGTGGAAAAAGAATTACAAAGAAAATAAAATTCTTTATATTATTGAAGACAATAGCAGCATGCAGTATTACGAAGGGACCAAAACCAGCAAGCTCATGAGCTCAGAAAATAATGACAAAATGGAGGAAATGATTAATGAAATTGTTAAGTACGGCTAGAAATTTTTATACTCAGTTTTAATTCAAATTCATTCTCTGAGAACTTCATATCTTAATTTTGAGTAAATATGTTTTAACTTAAAAATGCAATTTTTCAGGTTTACATGGTTTATAGGGAAGAACAGAAAACATCAAGCAACCTTTTCTCTGAGACAGGGAGTATTCGATCATATGGCAGCCTAGCCAATCTTAGAAATCAGAGAATAAGTAGGTCTTAATTTGGACTTCATAACTTAATGTTTTAGCAAATAATTTGGAACCAGGAGAGAGCCCTCAGTTCGGCTGAGAAATAGTCAGAGAAAATTCTAGCCTAAATTTAAGCAATATTAATTCATCAAAACTTATGTTTAAAGAAGAGCTACAAAATGCTCATATCAAGAATAATACAATTGCTAATATTTTTGGCAAAAAGAGGATATCATCATTTAGTTTTATGGGATCTGAGGGATCATCTCAAACATCAGAGGCAAACATGCAAAGTGGGTTTACTTCATCGAGCAAATACATAAGCACTGAGACTAAAGGCACTCCCCAATTTTCGGCTTTTAAAAAGTCTATTAGAAATAAATCAAGTATGAAAAGCTTGCCCAGTTCAAGTCCGTTTAGAAACACTCTTGCCCAAAAAGCAGAGATGGTAAAAATGCAAAAGAGTGGGAATACTGATGAAGAGAACTCTAAAAATAAAGGTAATATTTTATTTTTATACCATAGCTGGAAAAAGGAACTCTGCTATTTCTAAACGCCCATATATCAGTATTTCATCAATCTACACACTTAACTCAGGTGATGATAGTAGAGCTAATAGTGCTATTCTAAGTTATGCTCTCCAAGTTACTGACCAACCGAAGTCCCAAATAATCTCCTCTCCCAGTATGATGCAAGATCATTCTAGTGGAGAGAAGCCTCCAGCTAAACCTCCATCAAGCTTATCTGCAAAGGTGAATCCAAAGGCATACACAAAAAGAATGTAGGCCAAACCTCCCAGTCTAAACTACTAATTTGTAAAATCCTCTTTATCATTCACCTTCTTTCATCTAAATTTTAAAAATTGTGAATTTCGAATATTCTCGGTGATAATTCCTTGACCCGTTCAGGCATAATTTGCAATGGTGCATTTTACTGATGATAACTGGTGGTTCAGACCATATTTCTAGGGGTTCTACCACTGTAGATTTTAAGTTTCAAAGGAAAATTTTGTGTGAAAGTTGTGTATGGGGTTAAAATTTGGAGCGTGCTTTTAAAAGTGAGGTTTAGGGCTGCTAGAATCCTCTTTAAAGCTGATTTTGGATAAGAGAATATGGATAATATTTAATTCACAAGTTTTTGGGGTTTTGGGGTTTTGGGGTTTTGGGGTTTTGGG